GGGTCTGGAGAGCTCCGGGCTCCAGGGGCTGTACCTGCAGGCCCGCCACGGCTAGCAGGGATGTCACCGCTATCCTGGTCCTGCGGGGGAGAGGGATCTTCCGGGAGAAGAGGTACAGCGCCGTGATAGCTGTGATCGAGGTGATTCCCTAAAGAAGGGAGCGAGTTTGGGATGAGCCAGAGAAACAACTTCTTTTCAAGAACATTTCACAGAAAATAGGTGCAGATTCCTTTAGCTGCATATTCCATGTGGAGAATAAAGAATAAATAAATGTTATGCAAATCACACTTAAGTATAGTCAAATCCCGGAGCTCCTGTGACCCACTACCTTAACAAACCTAGTCTAAATAAGACCATTGAGTTCCATTTTCTCCAAATTAGCACACTGTTTGCCCAATTTTTTCCCAGTTTAAGTCACTATGGATTATTTTTGTCCTATCCCTGTCCATCACCTTGTCAATTGCAGGTAAAAATTGTCACCAGAAAATTGATGTCATTACCACCGCTCAGCTGTAAATTACCAACATTATCTCATTCTGTAGGTCACCCCAAATGATTCCCCTGCCTCAAGTTGCCTCATCTTTCCTTTCAGTCTTAGAAGTGGCTTAGTCCACTGCAATGCCACTCTCGGTTAATATCTGGATTGCTCTAACTAGCTGAGATGCTTTCACAAGGGTTTTTTTGTGTGTGTGTGTGTGCGTATACACACACACACACACGAGGCACAAAATCAAGTGTGTAGCCTGGCAAGTTAGTAAGTTTCTTTCAAGAGCACTTTGAAATACCAGGAAGTGCTGGCCTTCCTCTTTCCAGAGGAAGAGCTTGGTAGCAAGCTCTCAGGAACTCAGCATGGATGCCCTGACTGTCACTCCTACTGAAAGAACCACAGCACAGCAAGGGCAATCTGGCCCTTGGAGACAACTAAGAGGAAACTGCAGCATACTGGGAACATGTCACTTACCAGGACTCTGTGATCAAACTGTACAGTTGTGGGGTTCTCAAAGATATTTTTCAGCACTGGAGAGAAGGCAAGGAGATCCTCAGGGATCCAGCGTTCCCCCATCTTGGGGAAAGAATTGTACACTAGACCAGCGTCCAGCCCTGCCACAAAGGCACCTGCAGGTCCAGAGCAGAGAAGTCAGACTAACCGACTGCCTTCAGGTGGCACCTCAGCCTGTGCGAATCCTAAACCCAGCCTGACTTGAGAATCCAGCTTGATCTTGAATTGCTTTTAGAAACATATATGTTAAAGTCACACAGCAGCACAGAGGACATATATGTTTCTAAAAGCAATTCAAGTCACACAGCAGCACAGAGACTATAAGCAGGATGCTCTCTTGCCTGGGAAAAACTGCCAGGAAAGGTTTTTGGATGCAAGTTCTCTGGAAAGAATAAGTTTTCTGAGGAAACTTATCATGTTTTCTGGAGAGTCCTTGCCAGATCAGAAGAAATAGAAGACATGAGAACACTAAGAGTCTCACCTGAGAGAGCAGTAAGGAAAATGAGAGCTGTAGTGCCATGAGCAAATTGTCTCAAGCGGAGCAGCTGACGAGTCTCAGGTAGCTGTAGAATACAAAACATGGAGGGGATCAAAGTAAAGAACTGCCTGGGTTTAAGTCTTGTAAGCTCTGTGCTTGATTTCTTTTTATTACTCTCTGCTTTTGACTCTGACATTCCCTACATACCTTGTGCTGCGGGAGCAGCAGAGAGAGCCCTGTCCAGAGGCTAGCTGAATACAGAACGAGCGCGGAGCCCAGGTGTGCTGCGAGACGGTACTGACTGACCCGAGGAATGTCATAGGAATCCGGCTTCTCCTCCAGGCCGCTCTTCACCATGTACCATCCCAGCAGTCCCTGAAAAAGCCGCCAGAGAGCAGGTGTGAGGGCTGCCGAGGGCCGCTCACCACACAGCCCCTCACAACAGAAAGAAAACTCAGTAAAGATTCCTCTATGCCTCTACTAGAACTGGAAGAGCTGCAGTGGCTGCTATGATCAGGTAATTTAGGCAAAAATCAATTGTTTTCTTACATCTTTCATCTTACTTCTTACATCTTAACAACCTTTCCAGACCAAGCCTCCCACAAAAGCGTACACACATGCCCTGTCTTAGCTGTTCTCTACCAGAAAACACGGTCACTGTCACAAGCCCCTTTGGCTGCAGGGCTCTCACCTGGAAGCAGACGAGGCCGCACAGTGCAAGTACACAGCCCTTCATGGGGCGGCTGAGCCAGCCCTTCTTCCAGAAATACACAGCAGGTACGATGTAGGCCAGGCCCACGAGGCGACCCCACATCCGGTGCGAATACTCCATGTACCAGATGAACTTGAACTCTGTCAGCGTCATGTCATGATTCAGGCTGTTCGGGCATGGGAACAACACTCCTTAACACAGCAGTGACGCTTCCCGCAGCGGCCTCCTTCCCCTGGCACACTCACATTTTGAACTCGGGGAACTGCTGGTACTTCTGGAACTCGGCCTCCCACTCGCGCTGCGTCCGGGGGGGCTTCATCTCCTTCACCAGGTGCCAGTCGACCATGGAGAGGCCGGACTCGGTGAGCCTGGGAGAGAACAGCTCGCACTGTGGCCCGGG